GGGGGGGGGGGGGGTTTGGGGGGGGAGGATGGTGTCATCATGTTGGTGGGAACGACACGCGGTTGTGTGTACTGGGCTGCAGCCGAGTGGCAGTCGGGCTGCACGATGATCCGCCCACACGACTGGCAGAGAGTATGATGGTAATCATACGAGCATGTGACAGATGGCATCCAACCATAAAATCAAAGGGGGCGCTGTGGTGTGGTGTGTGTGTGTGTTTGTGTTTGTGTGTTGTGTCTCCCACCTGAAGCGGTGTTGATGGTCCTGACAGCCTCCCTGGTACTGACTCTGTTGTTAGGAGGATAGTCAGGGACAGTGTTGTCATAACGCCTCTCAGCCACTCGAGGACTCACCTTGGCAGGTGCATGACTGAGGAAGAGGAAGAGGAAGAGCAGAGGAAGAAAATTAGACCGAGAGAGAGCGTCGCGTGGGCGTGTGTTTGAGCGACAGATGGTTTAACTGTGGATGATCTGTGCCTGAAACAACGCCTGGTTTCTAATACAGCTGCTGACAAACACAATAACAAAACACCATGACACCAAGGAGGAGGAATCAGGAGAGGAGGGAAGGAAGACAGGAAGTAGTTCACAGAGAGACGGGAAGAAAATGAGAAAGAAAAAAAGAAGAGAAAAACAAAGAAATATACAAAAAAGAGAAGGAAGGAAGGAGGATGATCTTTGATTTTCAACACAAAGTTTACCGGATTCAAACCAGCGGCTCCAAAATGAAACCCACGTGGGACACCCTGAATGGGACACTCACAGACCCAACACTCACCCTGATTGGCTGTGCTGTTCGTCGATGGCATCCACAGCACTTTCCACTGAGCTGAGCAGAGACTGGATCTGATTGGCTGACTCCTTCAGGAGGAAACGTGTGACAAACTGCTCCACGTTGGTTCCTCTCTCGTACACCTGCGAAGAAGAACGAAAGAAATATGAATACTGAGTGTTAGTTAAGTTATTGTTGTTATTTACACACACTGTGGGGAAAAGTTTTCATTTCACTGAAGCTCAACATCCCATCATCAACTCCCAGCAGCTGAAGCTCCTCCAGATTAAAATCCCATCATCAACTCTCAGCATGTGTTTGTGGAGATTCAACATCAGGTTAGCGGCCCGGCTTGTGTCAGAACAGCCCGACTGAGGTCGGAACTGTCAATCAATCTTTGACTGACACATTGACACAAATGTAATTGATCCACTACTGCTCTTCGATTTATCAGAATAAAACTGCCGTACGATTTAAAAAAGCTGAGCCTCAACAGGGTTAACACAGAAACATTGTCATCTGATAATGGATACAAACTCGCTCATAAATTCCATTGTACTTCAGCACACTGGGATAATGAAACGTAAATATACATGATATAATAGGCAATATATTTTACAACAATCACTAGTGGTGTAAATGTCAGCTAAAAACTGCTGATTAAAGTATTTCAGAGTACTGTACTGCGTATCAGTCTGGACTCAGCAGAAAAAAAACACAGCCAGACTGAAATATTATCATCCTCTTCTCATTAAACAGAGAATCTCATGAATCCCTACGGGATCCCCATTGTCAGCAACGCTCGGTGCTCGGCAATAATTCAGCCTCACATTCCGTCTCAAAGTCGACGGTGCAGCTCACGGCGATCACCTCAAAGCCTATCGATCAGTTAATCAAATATTTCTTAATTGTCCAAGTGCTGATGTGGAACCTGGAGGGTGAAATCTATTCATTCACGTCAGCTCAGCAGAATAAGACGTCCACAGGAGGAGGGGAGGAAAGAGAGTTCCAGGGCAGGAGTCTCTGCTCCGCAGTGTTGACAGCGTGAACACGGTCGGCCGTCAGAAGCACTGACTGCAGCTCCTATACGACCTTATCTGCCACCGTTTAATCATTTAAGGAAGCCCTCACTCTCTGCCCAGTCGTAGCTAAGCGACTGTGACTGAGGACATCAGGCCTGTCAACTTTTAGATTTGTACGCCTGTTGGAGGAGCAGGAAACAGGACTTAAGGACACAGACAGGAATTTCTGTTAAAAAAAAAAAATTACAATCCATAATTTGTCAGAATTCCCTTCTGTTCATTTCTTTGCCATTTCTTGGCCACTTTTGCCAAAGATATTATCAGAATGGCTGTGATTTCCGGCCACTTTGCCAAAGATATTATCAGATGTACGATGGAAAATGACCAAATCTCTCTAATCTGGCCTGCAAATATGATCAATTTACTGCAAAGCGACAGGCAGAACAATTAAATACTCTTCCACTAAGTGGCAGCAGATCCAAAAACAGAGGGTCAGAACTCCTAAACAGTAGTCTTTCTTCAATTCCTGTAAGCATATCAAGGTCATTTTCAGCTAAACAGGCACAGGTCTCGCACTAAGTCAACTGTAAGTACATAATAATAATAAGTAAAAATATTAATTATTATTACTATTATTTTCTCCATTTGCTGGTGAACCAATAACAACAACAACAAACAACAATACTGAACAAAATAAAAAAGATAATCTTAATGTATCAAAGGCATCAGACTGGACCTGGAGGACCTCGGTGTCAAAGGTGGCGCCATAAGTGAGTGAACACGCTCTGCAGAGAGAGGAGGGGGAGTCAGTCAGTCAGTCAGTCAGTCAGTCAGTCAGTCAGTCAGTCAGTCAGTCAGTCAGTCACGTCGGCCTCACTGTCAGAAGTCACAGCGCAGTGATTCAGGAAGACAATTACGGTCCCTGTGAAGTCAGCCGTCCTCCACTGCACTCTAATCAAAGACAAACTGCCCCACGAGACACAGCCACACTGGCTGAATCGACTTCCATTATTACACTCCATGGTATCCACACACTCACACATGCATGTCCACATGCGTGCACACACACACACAAACGTGTAGCTATCGACTAAGAAGAAGATTTTGCCGTGGAACTGTCCTGTCAGCTTGTTCTGGGTTGGTTTTTTTTTTTTTTTCATGGATATTAATTTAAAAAAAACCAGCCGGAATCGATGGGAAGGACGAGCTGATGGGTTGTTGTGGTCCCACCAGTAAAAGACTAATAACAATGAAGTTGACATGAAAGGACCAAACCCGATCTGTCCTCATACGTAAAGACAATTTTGGACCTTTCCGGTTGCCTTGTATTGACATAAAAAGTGAAAATATGGACTAAATAATGATGCAGTAAAACAAACTTTACTGTAGAAAATGGTTTAAAAACATTATTTTAAAGTAAATATTTTTCTTTTATGAAATTAAAACATTATAAAGTAATGTGGAAGCACCTGAAACCTGTTTTTCTAGAATAGCCACTAGGGGGCGCCAATATTTGGAAAATTTCCAAACTTTTTTTTTCTTTATGATTTTAAATATTTTCAAATAAATAGTTTAAAAAAAATGGCCACAGGACAGTGAATTGAGATTCAAGATTCCAAATGACACCAGTCTGATCCACATCAGAACCAACTGTAAGGTGAATAAAAAAACACGTTAATCCTTGAACCAGCTGAAGTTCATGCTCATTCAGCAGAGGTTTCTGCCAACGATGACTATGAAAATATTTCCACAATAAATATATATTTATTCAAATTTATGTTTTAAACTTAAACAACAATAGTTGTTTTTTTAAAGCATTTAGCACTGGAGGACTTTGGTCCTTAGTTCTTGACACCCAGTGGCCGTAGTGTGAACAGTAATCCGACTACTTCCTCTCGGGCTCATGAAATCAGATACTTCCTTCTTCTGAAGAAGGCTAAGAATAAAACCGCTGGACACGAGAGATGAGAGCAGGAAACGCTAATGGGTGAAAGTTGAGGCCGTGAATAAAATGCGTTGTAGAAAACGATAGTAGGTGTTTTATGGTGAGGGGTGGTGGGGGGGGCCGTCTCTGTCCTCCAGCTGCACGTACAAATCAGAGACAGCTAACTTTTATGGTGGGGGGGGAGCCCCCGTCTCTACTCCTCCCGCTGCACGTACAAATCAGAGACAGCTAATGTGATGCATTAAAGTCTGTGTGCAGATACAGCGCATTATTTGCATTCGTCCAGGGGTTTCCACCGACTTACTCCCTGGGTTTAAATCTCCTGCCGTAATTACGGGGTGTCCTTAAAGCAGCGCGAGTGTGTGTTTGTGGTGAACAGTCGGTGCGGTGTGTTGTGGGCGGAGGTGTGAAGAATCTATACGAAGTGTTTTAGTCCTTATGTTCCTGCTCTGCAGCGGAACCAAAACTATATTTTGTGGAGTTCTCGACCCTCATTAGAGTCAGTAATAACAGACCATTACGATGTCGGCGTGTTCAGGGTAAATACTGACTGTCAGTGGGAGAAAAGGCCGATGACTGGACTGATGAGCTGTGGTTTTAGCAGAAAATATGTTGTTGTCACATTTTAAACTGTAAAACGTCGTTTGACTGAGCGGCACAAGGTGGGATCCAGGTTCAAATCCCATCTTTGGCTGAAGTCTGGATGGATGGATCTCAGACCTCTGGTACGGCCAGTCAAGGTTGGTAAAAATAAATAATAAGATGAAATTCATAAAACCCAGCAATGTAGCCCAGACAAAATGACAAGTCTGTTATTAGTCAATCGATTTATCCATCCATCCATCAATCAACCCATCCGCAAGTCTATTATTAGTCAATCAACACATCCATCCATCCATCAATCAACCCATCCATCCATCCATCCATCAAAAAACAAACCAATAACCCTACCTACGTCCCAACCGATCAATCATTCATCCGTCCACTTTTATCATAAAGTCAAACAGTCAAAACTGTCATCAAAATTCCATAAGTTCAGCTCGACTTAAACTGAGGAATGTTATGGAGAAACGGTTTTGTTATTTCATAAAAAAAAAAACCTTTTGACTTTTCCTTGTGTTTGTTGTTTTTTTTATCTTATTTTAGAGACAAAAACAAGTGAAGATTAGGAATATTTTAGCTCCAGGTTTCTTCTGGTGCCACTGGAAAAGCAGCTGTAACGAAAAGGTCTTTGATTGATATTCACACTAAATGAGGACACAGATAAGACTGGGTGGAAACTCCACCTTCAGGACGGTCGCTCCACTACAACACTCGGTTTCTAAGAATGAAAGACTTTTAGCAAAAAAAACCACAGCGTCAGACCAAGTCAGAAAATAAAGGACAAAAATACCACACACTCACGGCAATGTTGCTGAATTAAAAAAGAAAAAAAAAGAAAAGGAAAAACTCCCCCAGCGTCCCCCTGTTCTCTCTCTCTCTCTCTCCTTGTTTTATTTACGTACACTATCATGCTCGCTCTGCCTCGCCTGAACAGGTCCCACGAGCTCGGCTTCAAACGCAGGGATAGAAAAGCTGTAATCTATAATTCACACAGACCACTGACCCTGGAGGAGACGGAGACGGAGACAGAGACAGAGACACACCCTCAGCCTCAGCCTCAGCCTCAGCCTCAGCCTCCGCTGGCTACACACACATGGCCCCGTGATTGGCTACTCTGGAGATGATTGTGTGTGTTTATCTGTATTTATTCAGATAAATCTGTGTGTGTGTGAAAATAATAGGCAGGAATTCCAGCAGCGTATCAGAGAGTTTCTAGTGGATTTACCTGCTGCTGTGATGATTGATGACACAGACTGACCTGGAGTCAGTGCAGAGACAGCGTTTGTATTAGAAAACGCAGGAGACGGACTCTTATAGGATGAAGAAAATTTAATCTGGACGGAGTAATTGAGCATGAGAGCGGAGAGTGTGTGTGTGTGTATGTGTGTGTTTGTGTGTATCACATTCAGTATTGAGTATCATCTTCTGCAGGTCAATACTGTAGTATATTCCCTCATTATCTTCCACCTACACATTTCCACACGTGTTAGCGGCCTACGTACTGCCTGAGTACACACACACACACACACAAACATACACACATACTCATATTTACATCACTGCGAGGTGAAGT